CACGCTGCACATTATTAACAGTTCCTGTGACAAAGCTGGAAAAGCGGGCAGCAACGTGGGTGGCGCAAGTGTGGGTGGCTGTGGGTGGTCAGTGGGTGGTCAGTGGGTGGTGGCTTCGCCAGGCCACCTGTCATGTTACAGGCGAAGCTGTCGCTTCGATGTCCTTTGCCGGCCGTTCGCTGTCCAACAAAATGTTTTGTGGTTCCCTTTCCCTTTTCCCGCTCCGCGAATTTTCCCGCTTTTCCCGTTCCCGATGTTCCAGCACTTCTAAACATTACCAAGTTTGTGACGCCGCCGGCTGCTGGTTGTTGTTTATTTTGGCTTCCAGAAAACTCATTCCCTGTGTGCCAGTGTGTGTTTTGGGCATTTAAGTGAAATTGAGAAAATTGCTTAGAAAGCCTTTTTTTTGGGGTGCTCGAAATTTTACTTTAAGTTGCTAGAAACTGGATCACCGGGAAATAACTTTCACTTGTCTGTAGACCTTTTCAACCAAAGTTACAAATATATCATAAAAATAAATATACCCAGAAATATTAAAATTGAAAATTTCAATTATCTACAGAACACTCAATTTTAATTTAGACGTCTCATTTAATGATTAATATGCTCTTACAACTGTTCAATAATTAAATTGTATTTAAATATTTTTCAGATTCCAATCCGTTAATGACAACTTATTTCATATTAATTTCACATTTGTGGCATTCCTTTGCGAAATTTTCTCACTTCGCCAAGCGATTTCGTGACATGTTCCCCCCTGGTTTTCACTGCCACTTCCACACTGTTTTCCCAATCTGTGGAATGCGACAACTGCAACAATCAAGCAATTTATTAATAATAAGCATAGCAATTAGCACTGCAAGTGATTTGATAGGAATTGCCAAAAGCAGCTACTGCCATAAAATGCGAACCTGCCTGCATATTTGCGACTACACTGGGACAAAATGCTTAATACATCAAAAAATCACTAAATGATTACCAGACTTAAAACGGGTTCGTAATATACATAGTAAATAATGCATTTTATAATTTTAGTTTATTTTATAATTAGAATTTATTTTAAAATTTTAGGATTTAACTTTCGTATCTTACGTAATTTAATATGATTTTCAATTAAAATGTTCAAGTCTTTGCTACAAAAATATATTTATTTATATAAATTTAAAATATTGTAGATGAACCTCTCGTCTTTTCAATCCTAGTAGGTAAATTACTATTTCTTTTGGGTTGCTTTGGTTTTAAGTTCTGCAATTTCTGCAGGTGCATTCAAGTGCTTGAATGTGTCATAATAACAGGAAAAGGCCCCCAGCAACGATTTGCAATAAACTGACGTCACATGATGCCAACCGAATGGGGGTGGTGTCAAATTTATTGCATATGTGGTGGGGGTGTGGGTGGTGGGTGGTGGGTTGTGGGTGGTATGGGTGTCTCTAATGATGGCATAATTAGCAGCAAACGGTAAATTCTGTCAGGCCTCAAGTCGTTTGCCATCCCACTCAGTGCACAGAAGTTTTTGGCGCTTGATAATGGCATAAAGTCAAATTACTTGGCATTTAAATGGGGGCCGGAGCATTTTCCAAAGGAGCTGGAACATGTTAATTGAAAGCCCACTTATTCAAATGAAAATGCGTTTTAAGTGTGCGTCCTTACACTGGGGGAAACATATATATAAAAGGGTAGCTCAAGTCTTAAATAAATGACATTGAAGATAGTCGGAAAATCTTTTGAAGAGGTTAGGCAATTGTAGAATACATTTGTTAATAAAGTGACTAACCTGATCTTATTTTATAGAATATAATTCCATATAATTATTTGGTATTTTGTTTTTTTTCTTTTATATACCTTTCAAGACAAAACTAAATAGGATTCTAAGTTAATTTTTATTTTTTATAGGGTAGGTATAAAAAATTCCTTGCCATTTCTATCTTTTATAAAATATTTTCTTGTGATAATGATTTCCCCCTGATAATCTATCTGTTTCTATACATATTAACATACAGTTTCTTGTTTTGAATAGCCAAATTGTGTGCGTGTGTTACCAGGACACTAACACTCGCAACGAGTGGCCATAAAATTTTCTATTTAACGCTTGAGCGACAGTCGAAAATGGGTGGAAATGGAAAATGGAGCATGGAGCAGATGCTTTAATTTCAAACCTGTACAACCTCAAACACGATATGAAGGTATGGATGGTCCTTTGTTGCCAACAATCCGATGGAAATGGACAGAGCGACGGAGGTCAAAAGCCGGCCAATGTCAAATGCTTGTCGTCCTGGGCAACAGTTTATTAGGTTGTGTCGTTGCCGTTTCTTAAGATTGCCAACCAGCTACCACCACGTCCACATCCACGTCCACATCCACATCCACATTCAGATCCAGCCACCCACCTACACTTGTCGCCATCAAATGCCAGTCATCATTTGAGGCAGAAACGGGTAGCCAGGACAACGTCTTCAGACAGGCTGGGTTCCCAATATCATCCCCGAACCTCGCTCCTTATGACAGGCCAAATTGGAAGGTTGGAAAAAATCACCATGGGAGGCATTGATAGTCCAGTAAATCGAATAGGAAATACCTATCGTTATTGCATTACATACAGTAAATTAAATATTCTTTTTTTAAATGTACGGGGCTTATATTTAACTGTTGCTCTATATACATGCTTAAAAAATACTATTATTCAAAGCACAAATAAAATAAATTAATAGCATATTATTTCATAAATTATACAAACATTAAACGTTTATTAAGATTATTTATAAAGTACAAGAGTTTGAATTAATAAAGAAGAATAAAATTTAAAAGCTATTTTTAAAATAAAAATGTGTTGTTAATTTTAGATTTGTTTGAACGCGAATTTGGAATAAAATACCATCCAAAATTATTTGGTTAGTGGTGTAATAAATATCCTCTATAAAGAAAAGTACCCTTATGAGGTCTGAGTAACTGACACAAAAGAAACCGAAAATGCAGCTGAGACTGTCAGGACCATTGACCATGAGCAGGATATAAATAGGGATGTGGATGGGGGTCGAGGACGAGGACGAGGATGTGTCAGAAAAGGTGACACGAGACAAGGTTGCGTTGATAACGATGAAGTGGAAAGTTGTAAGTAGAATGCGGAAAGTGGAAAGCGGTGAGCAACCCCCAAGGACCGGGACATTATTGCCTTCGTTTCAGGTTATTCCTTTTTGTTTTTAATTTCTTCGGGCGCTTTTTTTTGGGACGAAATGTGTTCACATTTGAGTATGTTAATTTTCGGATTTTAACGGCAGGGATCGGGTCAGGATGCGTCTGACGATTTGTCAGTTCCAACTCATAAGGCAAAGTTAATTTTCGGCCATTTGTCTCTGATTCGAGCACGCTAGATAAACCTTTTCCTTACTTACACATGCTATCGTCATAATGGGGATTCTCGGGGTTGGCAGGCGTCACATATGGCCGGGATTAGTGGGGCACTTGACAAATGACTTTTATAGTCTTGGACAAAATTAAGCCCTTAGGATACTAATTGCCAGAGGTGAGAATTAATTAAAATTTGTATATATTTTTTAAATAATAGTTTTAGCTTAATTTAATTTAATATCAATAACTAATAATAATATAATACAATTTGTTCAAATTTTAACAGCTTTTAAAAACTGTAAAACTCTAAATAAAACATAAGCCATTTGAAGTTGTAAAGAAATTAGTTGACAGAAGTTCTTAATAATATTTGGGTTGGCGTTAGGTATTTCAAATATTTAGTTGAAAATGTAACCAAGAAATCAAAAATTATTTTCCAAGCATTTATCATTCCTAATTAGTGGACTTAAAGAGTTAACAAAGTTTCCGGCAAAATAAGAATAAGATATATAATCTGAGATAAACACAAGTGATTACATTAAGGCCCAAAAGGGATAATCCCCTTATTTTTTTGTATTTTGTTTTGGTGTCTTAGGAGTCATTCGCTAATTGTTTCTATGCTTCATTAGGCGAGAAAAAGCGAGGAAAATCGAGGAAAAGCGAAGAGAAGTGAAAGAAAAGCGCAGAGCTACGTTGTTGGATCACCGCCAAGCTCATTTAAAATGAGCTGGAAAACTGGAAGACTCATTCATTATTCGCACGACTTAAATAAGCTGGCTGGGCCAAATTTTACCCTGCACACAGAGTACACATCACAAGTTGAAAGTCTGTTTCTGCCCCCAATCCTCGCCATTTATCCTTCAGACGCGACCCTTTTCTAGGATTTTTCTGTTTGGCTTTTTTCGCTTTCAAGTTTGACCATTTATTTAAACTTTTTATTTAGCCAGATTTCTATTTTCGCCAAAGACTCTCCGGCAATAAATTCAATTCTCCTTTTCCTCTTTATTTTTGTGTTAATGTTAACCCCTTTAAGGCATCCGGGCAGGGGGTGAATTAATTTTCTTAAAAGCTTTTCTTGGCGGCGATGATTATCCAAATCCCCGCCTTACTTTTCACTCACACACATTCTGTCTTTTTCTGCGGCCTCTCGATTTTTATACATTTAATGACGGCTTCAAATAAAAAAAAACGGACAGTATAAGAGTGAAAAATACCTAATCTGGATTAGTTTTTAAGTATTTAGAGCCAAAAAGTTCTTGCAGATCGATTTTAATGGATTTTATACTTTTAATAACTAGTAATAAAATAAAATAAAATAAAATCAGGGATCAAATGCATCAAAATGTAGTCACAAATTATTTGATCATTTTGGATAAATTTGTTCTCATCTATATTGATATTTCTTCTAAATGTGCATTATAGACTTTTTTGATGCAGATAGATAAACAACTTATTAATTCTTTTAGTTGAAATTTTTATTAACGAATCTTTGGCACACTACTCAAGTACCTTATATACAAATCGGTGTATTTTTGTGTCTGTCTGTGAATCAGTGTATTTATGTTCTATGTCATTACTTAAATTTATTTTTAATCAATTTTAAAATATGTATTATTATTAATTCATTCCTTTTTTATATTCTTACGTTTTTTGTGTCTTGCAAAAAAAAATGGTATATTCTTAAACATCTATGTTTAATTTTAGCAAATATTGATTTAGGAGGGGGAAATACAGAGCAATATATATGTTCAATGTACACAGATCTCGTATATATTCGTATTTATTATGTATGTGAGCCCCCGCCTTCAACTGTTTGTATATATATTTGATTCTTAGGGCCATGCTAATTGATTTAAATTCGATATGTGAGCCACTTACATTAAGGTTTACCATACAAAAAAACACAAAAAATTTCTTAATGCGAGTATTGCTTCTTGAATTTGATATTCAACGTTTTTGGATTTCAAACAACTTTTAAATTTGAAATTAGAATATTGCAGTCAATATGTACGAATTTCACAAATCAGAAATAAGTATTTTAAATTAATTCAATTTATTTCATTTATTACTTTGTACTTAACACTTTGCAGCTTAACTAATTTCTTAAAATAAAAATGTATTAAATTGAAATGCCATATTAAAGTATTAAAGTATGAAATTTAAGAACAAAACTACTTGAAGATTTACAATTTTCATTTGTTTTGTGATGGTATCAAGCGCAATTTAAGTAAAGATATTCCAGTTTATATAACTTATATAATAATAATTTAAATAATAATAAAAACATTAATTGAATTAGTTTTAAATTTCACATTCTACGCTATACAGTTTAATCTGAATGTGAATGAGAAAATAAGTAAGGATGGGACTTAAATTATTTCAAAACTCAAGTAATTTCGATGGAAATCAAATCCGGAGAATACAATTTGGTGTAATTTATAAAGAAAACAGAGCTGATAAAGGGATTTCCCAATAAGACCTAACAAATTCAAGTAGCAATCACCGCCAGCTGCGATATGGCGACTATTCACAACACCACAAGCTCGCTGCTGAACTATTATTATTCATCTTTTTCTTTTTCGAGTGGACCAGCTAAGTGTTCCGCTCCTCCCACAACTACTCCAACTCCTCCACCCCCTGACCTTGGGCCGCCAGACAAGTGCCGAGCAAGGCGGCCGCCAGCCGCTAGTAGGGACGCCAGACATCCGCCGATGGTTTTGGGGTTCGCGTCCTGATGGGCCCGCCAGCACCACCACCACTTGAGCCACTTGCCGATCGCGAGGTGGTGCTGACATCATCCAAATCGATGGTCTCCACGGGCGACGGTGATCTCCGGGTAGAACTAACCGGCGGCGAGGCATTTGGATTGGCATTCTCCGCATCCGGTGGATTATGGGTGATCAAGGTGACACAACGTTTAATCAAATTCACACCATCATGATCGGGATTGCCACTCAGCAGTGTGGGTCCAACGACATTCTCCTGACTGGGATTGATATTGGCTGCCGCGGCGGCTGCTGCGTTCCTTAGCCACGGGAGATCACTGTAGCTGCCGTACAGTTGGGTATACAGCCACTGGCTGGATTGCGGTAGCAGCGGACTTTGCAGGAAGAGCTGAGCGGCCAGAGCGGGATTGAAACTGTGACCACCGCTGCCGGGGGCAAAATGATTGCCACCGGCTCCAGCAAAACCGCCAAATAATTCCGTGGGATTTTTGCCACTGCGTTGGATGAGGGCGGTGAAGGCGCCACCCGAACCGGGTGAACTTTCACTCAGCGAGCCCTGTACTCCTCCACTATTTAGATTCAATCCCACCGATTCCGTTTCCTCCGCCTCCGCCTCCGCTTCCGCCTCCTCCTCGTCGTGGGTCAATGGTGAGCCTAGACTTTTCCTCGGCGAACCCGTCACCGAAATGCTGTCGCTTTCGAAACCGGCATCAATGTGGTTGCTGCTGCTATTGTTGTTGTTATTGTCGTGCTGCAAACTGGTCACCGGTGGCGGCGATGACGTCATCGGCGGCTGGACAAAGGCGCTCAACTGAGTGCCGCTCGTGGTGGTGGTGGTGGGCGATCCCTCCGGACTGGTGGTGCTATGTGCCGCGCCGACGGTGGCCAATTGCTGCTGCTGATGCTGCTGGTTGTCCCCTAGAACATACATTTTATTAATAACTTATTTATTCAGTATATAATACATAGGGAGAGGTGCTTCAGAAATCTCTACGGTTTTGAAATAATTTATAAAAGTATGCAATAGTACATCTTTCGTTTTAAATCAATCTGCATTTCGGATTAAAAATATATTGTATTATGTATATTGCATACTTATAGACCCAATTTTATAAGTTGATTTCTGTGGCACCCAACACTATATATATATACATTTTGAGATCTCTTAACTAACCACTCAATCCGCGCAGGCCACTGGCCGTGGGAAAGGCCGCCGCCGCCGCAGCAGCATGATGGCCAAAGAAGGGGGCGGCGGGAAAGGCGGCAGGACGACCGCCCAAGGCCATGTGGGCACGCCAATCGGGCGCGTGCAGGTGGCTGTGCATCCCGACCAAATGGTGGGCAAAGCCTGCAAAGAAACAATTTTAGAAATTTTAGATTTTAAATTTCATCTATGAAAATCAGTATACAATAAATAGAAGTAAAGCTTATTACAATTTAAAAAATGTATTTAAAACCCTGATCAATTAGAAGATCAAAAAATGTGTGAATTTTAATAATAAAATAGATATTTTTATAAGTAAAAATTTGTTTTCAAGTTTGCCATCTTAAAAAGGGGAACATTATTAAGAAATTTGTTTTTTTTTGCGAAAATTTTATACCATTTTGTTAGCGCAAAGAAAAATTTTAGAGAAGACATTCTTCATTTATATATTGTGATTTCTGTTTAGTTGACAATATCACAAATAAGCTCAAGAATATCACTCTCAAACATACATTTAAGTACATAACACTAAAAAAATACTTTAAGTTGGCAACATAGAAACAATATATCAACCTTTTCAGAAAATGGTCTTCAGTTACTTTTTAAAAATTCTGTAAATGATTTGAGCTGCCATTACAAAATTTTTGAAATTGCCTTTTGCAGTTAAATGATTATTGACTTTTTATTAGTTATGATTTTATCGTTAAAACTTTTTTAACTTAAATGTAAGGTATTAAAGACAATATTATTAAAAACATTACATTTTTCTATATTTCCAAGCAGAATTTTCACATAAGAAATGCCAGACGGGTAGTTCATAAGCCCCCAAAATACAGTTCATTCCGGGCCAGTATCCCGTGGACACCAAGTGCAATGCCAAGACCAATAACCAAAATCTCACAGACCGAAAAAAAAGACACAGGAGCAGGAAAAACGAAGGCCAAGGCTGAGGGGCAGGAGAAAGCCGAAAACCGAAAGCCGAAAGCCTCGTCTCGACCACATATAGCCCACTGTGCAAGACCAAAAATGCTGCCGCACATTTCGGTTGCTGCAAAACAACATTGGCAAAGGACTTCACATACCCCCGCCCCTCCCCTTACAGCATGTTCCCCCAATCCCCCAATCCCCCAACCCCCCTGCAGTGGCGGCCATTGCTGCTTATGTATAGACGCCACCTGCCCCAAGACAAGCTCCTAAATAAATTCATTAAAATTATCCCCCAGCTAGTGGTGTCTCGCTCACGCTCTCGCAATCGTTCCATCTCAGTCGGGTCCTTGCTCCTTGCTCCTGGATCCTGGCTCCTGGCTCCTGGCTCCTGGCTCCTTGGCCATGTCCATGTGGCCGCCATCAAGTGGCAGCCCACAGTTGCGGGCATCCTGCAGGATCCCTTCTTCCCCGTCGTTCCTTTCCAGAAAATTGCAGGGGAAGGTGCAGCAGAAGCAGCAGGAGCAGCACAAGAGGCATAAGAGGAATAAGATGGCTGAAGGCAACGCCGACGGCGACAGAGCAAAAAGAGGCCAAAAGGAGCCAGAGATGGCACTCGAAAAAAATATAACGTATACGCCACATGTGACGATTACTTTCTCGTCATATATTCTTAAATTATTAACACACTTGAAGAGAGGTTATTTCATCACATGTTCTTCAATTTTTCAATTACAATGCAAAAGGCTATGGCGAAAATTTATTTTAAAACAATTTTATTTATTTAGCAAATTACATTTTCAATACAAAAGATATTTGACTGAAATGATTGATCAATTCCCAGAAACTTCAATCAAAAATATAATAATTTTTAATTAATTTCAACATAAGATTAGTATAAAATATTAACCAAATAAAACCATTTCAAAATTAAGCAAACAATAAACGATAACGCAGTTAACTGAAATCACAAAGCAAATGTTAAAAATTGCTATTAAAGATGCTTTAAGAATCTTACAAAATTTTCAGCAAAGGTATAAAACACATATAGGCGGTCGCTTAATTTAAAAATGAAACAATTATTTCTTATAAATTAATAATTGTGTAAGCAAATATAAGTATCAAAATAAAAATACACAGTTTGCCATTTATTGCCTGCTCTTCTGTATGTGTTCACCTCCTTTTTTCCTAGCGCAGACAATTTTCTCTCAGTGTATTTTGTGCCAAGGAGCTGGAGCTTAAGAAAACGCCAAGACGTATTTGAGTGAGAGAGAGAGAGAGAGAGAGAGAGAACTATTGGGAAAACTGATAAGAGAAGAGCGGAGAATTCGAATTCTCTGGCGGGAAAGGCTAAGGCTAAGACGAAGGCGAAGGCAGACCGACCACAATACACTCACATCCTCGACACTCTCCCTCTCTCTTTCGCGCACCCAGCTAGCCGTCCCTTTCACCGGCGGACTGGCTGAATTGTCTCCGTCTCGTTTTAACACACTTGAGGCCAAATACTTGGCCAAGTTTTGCCAAAGTTTGCAAACCAAAATTTCACCGAAAATGTGACACCAACGAACCAACCAAACGAACCACTGCAGCACCACCGTCCCACTTTGCCGCCCACTTTGCCGCCCACTATTCCGCCCAATTTTGCACCCGATTTTCGCTTTTCCCTCCTCAAGTTTACCGCCCACCATCTCCAAAAGCATCTTGAGTCTTGAGGCAGCTGCATTACTTGATTGGCATGGCTGCATGACATTTCCATTCTTCCGCCCGCACACATCAATTCCTTTGGCTTTATCTATGGCTCGCTATATATGGGTATATATAGTCATTGATATCGGTACAATGCGGGTAAAACTGGGTCAAACTGCCATGACAAGTGGAAGTTGTCATCATCTCGACATTTCGCCATGTCTGGTGTCTTTTTTGATGGAAACTTTTGCTGCTCAGTCAAAACAAAGGCGGCAAAAAAGATGACAATCGGTTGGCGCGTGCACATATATATGGCACTCACTATACCAAAATGGATGTCACTGAGATGGCAACTTTCATTCGAGGACCCATTGTCTGTCAAAGAGCCTTTCAAACTTTTGCACTGAAAAGGGCTTACAAGACGGTTTCATTATTAAATTTCTTTGGCTGCAGGAGCAGCATCCTCAATAAAAAGACGAAAACATTGCTTTAGAATACGAATACTTAAATTCAATGTGTTAAATTTGTAAATTCTTTAAACTTCAATTTTTTTTTTTTCAAAATAAAACTTTGTGTCTATGCACTCTTTAAATTATTACCTCGCTTTCAAGAGATTTCCAAAATTTGTTTAACAATGTGTCAACAACATCGTTTATGCTTCTAATATCTTAGTAGTCTTAAGAGACAAGTATATACTTGCAGAGCTCATACTAAACAATAAATATTATAAAAAATAAATAAATCTTAATATTTGTTATCTATAAATTACCAGATGAAGCTCAGGCTTAAAACAACATCCCTGTCTGCTTAGTTTAAATTTTATTTAGGTCGATTTTTTTAGTGAACAATTTTTATTTAATATATAATAGTTTAATATTTGTATATATTTCGTATGCTCTATTGTTTCGCAACTGTTCACAAAATACAATATTTTATTTAAAATGCAATCTAAATTTAATAAGAAAAACTGTTTTGTCTTTCAATTAACAATAAGCAGACAAGTGTCATCTTACTTTGACTGTTCATTATGCGTGGTATTCTACATTTGTTTATTAACTTCTTTTTGGTTTGTATATTTATATAATTTATGTTCTGGAAAAACAGCTGGGACACCATTTTATAGTTGTGTCACGCAAAATGACAGTAGTTACAGTCCGCAAAAGTACGAGGATCGTTGTCGTTGTCCCCTCGACCCCTTAACCCCTTAGTGCCCCCTCTTCTTTTTCCATCCCCTACTATTTTGACACCCTTTTTTTTGCACTCCTCTCCTATTTTCGTTTCTCTAGCTTGTTCAATTTTTTAAGCATTTCCTTTAGGTCCTAGTACACATATAGAAATCGTTACCGCCCACGATTTCGAGTGCTACTTAAAGTTGCCGTCGACGTTGACTGCGGCAGAGGCAGCGACGCCGACAGCGACTGCGACTGCGGCAGAGGCAAATGGCAGACCGTTGAGCAAATTGTGTTTTCCATATAATATAACATCACGTCGATTTTGGGTAACCCAAAACTATGTACATATGTATGCCACTGTCTGTGTCCAAAGCACACACACAAACGTATAAATGGAGGGGGGGGAAGTAAGACAGGGAGAGAGTGCGCAAAAGAGAGGGGGATAGACAGAGAAAGAGAGAGAGAGAGAGACCCCATAACTGCAACCTAAATATGCGGTCCTGTAAGGAAACCCTATGTGCGATAAAGGGTTAGCCGCTTTTGGTGTCAGTTTTGGGTTTGCCATTCCTCGGCTTTTCCACCGCTTTCCCAGCGCCTTTCCCGACACCCCCTCCTTCTCCTCCTCCTCCTCTTCCTTTTCTTTTTTTTTTTGCTTTTCCCTCACGTTACGGTATTCGTCGATGGCTGGTCTGTGTGAGTGTATTCCCATTTGGGACACTCTCAAAGTCGCCTCCCACTCGCCCCGCCCCGCCCCCTCCATGCCACTCCTCCAAGGACTCTCCCAGGACCCTCCCCCTGTACATGAGTGGGTCTATCGGTGCCTGTGTGTGTGTGTCTAGTGGTGTTGTGTGTGTGTGTAAGAGCATAACGCGGTGCCATTGGTGCGCCGCAAAAAGCTTTCATGAGTCCGGCGTCCTACGCTTCGGCTTTCTTTTTCCTCCGCTCCGCTTTTCTTTTCTTCTAGACGTTCTTTCACTGCTTTCTTCTTCTTTTTTTTTGCCATTTTTGGGTACCGCAATGTGGGGAGATTCTGGTTGGTTGGCATGGGTTAAGAGAGCTGGGGCACAGGGCGTATGCTTGTTGCCGCCTTAGAAACTTTGGCCCGCAAGGAGCTCGATTGTCGGTCAAGAAACCAACTGAGTCGGGAAAAATAGCAATTTTGATTTATATAAATTTGTATGATTTATTAAAGAAATAAGTCATTTGCCTACTAAATGCTATGCCAATCAATGTTTTTTTGAAATGACAATTAAATTAATTAGAAATAAGTAAGATACGCGATTAGGCTAAAATTTTGTTGCAATTTTTGACTGTTTTAATTAATTAAAAAAAAAAAAAAACTGTACCAATTGTTAATTATAA